ACATGATCAAAAATCGCGTGAACGGAAATGGGAAGGGCTCATCAGATATATTTTTGGTTTGGCCGCAGCGACTCCACTGGACTTTGCTGCGGTTTTCGGCTCACTCACTGTCCCTGTTACTCCGATTTGACCACACAAATGCTCAGAATCAAATTTCAAGTAGGTATGAGATACCTTTTTTCACAGTCGGTAGTGGCTCCAGTGTGGTGGCAATCAGCAGTCGACCTTCATCTCCGGTGCTTGATTCTTCTTCTCCGGCAGGGGTTGGCGGCAAGGGTTTGGGTTTCTCTGCGACGCAAGGTATTTATACTCATCCTGCATCACTCTGAACCGTTCATCGCGATTGATCTCGTTCTTTCCATCGTGCCTAAAGAAAAAATGAATATGCGTCATTCATCGCGATTGATCTTGTCCGTCTGATTGCACCTAAGGAGGGGAACAAATTTAGATCGTTCACACGCGCGGGATCGAACCTGGGCCGTTAGATCGCTGGGCACGCAGATTGCCCCCGTGACACTGACATCAATGTGTTTTCACACATAGTGTGCTCCGGTTCGTCAGGGCCGTTGATTGGGTCATTCCACATTATCGAAATTTTTTTTTTGCTCTTTAACCCCTTATAACTTAAATTTTTACCCATTTTTTTAAAAATTATTTTTAATCTTATTTCTAATTTATTTTTTTAAAAAAATTCAATAAAATAAAAATATAAATAATTAAATAATTATTTTAATAAAAAAAAATTTATTCGGGTCATTGGGCCCGGATATTACAGAATTAAAACAAGATAATTATATTTAAAGATAGAAAATTTAAATATAGAATCAAGAAATCCAAATTCAAAAATTAAAGAAGTTAAAGTTATAAAAAATATAATTTTAAAAACCCAAAAATTAAAAATAAAAAAGATAATTTTTTTCCAACGACCGGCCCTCCTTCCCTCCTCTCGTCCGCTTCTGTCGTCCAACTTGCATTCCTATCAACTTTTCCACGTGTCACTCTACCATTGGTTCCTCGTCTCTGTTCTACTATGGGATGTTCTTGGCTGTCTCTAATATTAATAGTTATTTATTCATTTATTTTTATTTTTACAGTCAAAAAAAGAGAAAAAGAAGACAGAAAAAAATATTTGTAATTTGACTCTTAAATGTATTGCCCTCTAAAATTTAATGCTTGTTTAGTTTATTGAGTTTTAATTAATCAATATGTAAATGATTATGTATAAAAAAATTTTAAATTAATTAAATTTGTTTAAATTGGTTTGATAAAATCGATGGTATTTTAAATTTTAATATATCAAATTAAAGTATGAATTTTGTTTACGTGTAAAAATTATATTATTATTTTTAATTTTGTGATTGATTAAATTATGAATAATAAAAATTAATAAAAAATTTGTATATAAATACAGTTATAATTTTCAAATTATAAGTAGTCAATCAGTTCATTATATTATAATATTTCATCATCAGAAATAAAGAAAGTGAGAAAATTGTAAATAATTGTTTACTAATTTAGAAGACTAATCACATGATACGTGATTCTCTTTCATTGTAATAGATTCGGACATGTATTTTAATGATTTAATATGAATTTTAGGATTTATTTTAAAATTTATTTTGTAAAAAATAAAACTACTACTTAGATTTCAAGGTATTACTTAGATTTTAAAAAGTATTTTTGTTCTAAAGTTTTCATCTTTTAAATAATCTAGATATATAACATGTGGGTATGATGTGTTAATTCTAGCTGAATCCCATTATTCCCGTTCCCAAAATTAAATAACCATTAAATTCAATTAATGAGCTAGAACACACACACACACACATATATATATATATATATATATATATATATACTGTCAATAATTGAGGTATAATATGGACAGCTAGGGCATAATTTCCTAATGATGAACTAGATTTATTTATTTAATAAAATCTAAGAAGATAAGATAACAAAATAAATTATTTCCTAGAGAGATGTAACAACGTGGAATCAAATCCTTCTTGAAGGCGGATTGTAAAGTTATTATTTTATAATATAATATGTGTATATATATATAGCTAATGATACATTTGAACTTATCTACTTAGCTTGCCAATTTGGACAGAAATAAATTAATGTTGTCATCAGAAGTACCACCTTCAGAAACCGCCTTTACAGCCAACTCCCGTATCTTCTTCGCTTTCTTCTCCATCTCTCTCCCTCTCTCTCCCTCCATTACTTCTCTCAGACACCTTTCAACTTCATCTCTTTTCACAATACCATCTTCTCCCTCGACTTTCACCCTCATTCCCACCTTCCAAACACTCTCCACGTACTTCCCGTTCGTCGGCTGGTCCGTCCACTGCGGCATCGCCACCATCGGCACCCCCAAGCTCAGTCCCTCCAACGTCGAGTTCCACCCACAATGCGTCAAAAAACAACCAACAGCTTCATTTGACAGAACTTCAGGTTGAGGACTCCATTCCACTATCAGACCCTTGGGGCTTTTTTCCATGAAGTTGGCGGGGAGCTTGGCTTGCTCGGTTGCCCTGGTCACCCAGAGGAAGTGGAAGTTGGTTTGAGTTAAGCCCCATGCGAGCTCTTCCGTTTGGGTGGCGCTGAGATTCGCCATGCTGCCGAAGGAGACGTAGACGACGGATCCCGGCGGTTTGGTGGTGAGCCAGTGGCTGCACGTGGCGGCATCTGGTTTGAAGAGGTGGAGGCTGTAGTCTGTGTCGCTTTCGAGTCTTTTGTCTAAGTAGATTGACGGGATTGTTGGGCCGGTTGTCAGAACTACTGGATAAATTTTGGATAGCAAGTTCACCTCCTGCTTCCACACAAATTCATACATTCATCTTCATGCATAGACTATAACGTTAAAAATACTAATTTGTAATTTAATAGAACTCTTTATCTTAATAAAGAGTTAAAAGTTATGAGTGTTTCTTTTCAGATTTTATGTATTAAATTTAATTATATGTATTTTGAGTTCTTATCAGTGTGAAATCACAAGAAACTGTGATGAATAGAATCACATTTGGAAAATGGAGAGGGAAGGTCTGGAGAGAAAAATTCAGAGAGGGTTCGGTGAAGGTAAAAATGAGAGCTGCTTTACATTAATTACATTCACAGTATTTACACACAAGAGGGTAATTAAGTTTAACTTAACTATCCACTAATTACAATTAATCACTCAATAACTAATTGCAGCTAATCGTACTAACCAACATCTGACTATGGTTAGCTTTTATCTAACTTCAGTTATGTCATGTGTCTAATCGCTATCAGTTGTCATCTTATCAATTCGGCAGCTATACACATAAATACGCACAGCTACAGCGATATGTGATAGTAGATATATATTTATATATTTGAAGATTTAGCAACCACAAAAATATTAGTATGTTATTGTTCTTTTTTCCATTTCCAATAAAGTATCAATAAAGAACGCTTATCTCGTAAAACTTTTTCCTGCAACTAATTAGCATCAGCAAACGAACTTCAAACAAGCACACGATACTTGAATCTGCGAACTTTAGTCATAATTGGTAACTATATGTGTATATGTGGATGAAACCAAACGCGCTAAAACAAAATATATAAAAAATTACTAATATAATGAATTGTATAAACGGGGTACCTCTTTTTCTAAGTCATAGAAGCTATTGACAAGTATACAGTCAGCTTTGTGGGCATTAGAGAATTGATTCAACACCAACTCGAAGTAAGCCGGATAAGACCCAGAAACCCAAATGAAGGAAGGCATGTCCTGGAGCTCAAGCTCCGGCAGTCCATCAATGGAGACGGGTGTTGAATCAGAAGAAGACGACGACACAGACAGATTCAGTTTGCCATGATGAAGCAGACAGTAAATGTAGTTAACTGCGCAGGATTGAGTGAAAAACGCAGCGGCAACTAACCCAAAACGCTTGGCGACCTCCAGAGCCCAAGGAAGAAAAGGGTCGTAAACTACGCAGGTGATAGGGTTTCTGGTGTTATTGTGTTTGGTTATGAGCTGGCTGAGGGTCTCAGAGCCGACGGATTCGAGCCGTTTTAGGTATGAGGAGATGGTGTCGGCTTGAGAGAAGCCGCCGTCGTCGTAGCCGTCGGATATGGTGTCGATCTGGACGGCAGAGGAGAGGTAAGGAGAGGTTGTGGAGATGAAGATGGTGGTGGCCAAAGTGGCTTTTATGCCTTTAGAAGCGAAGCGCTTGCAGAGCTGTAGCAGAGGGCTTATATGACCTTGGCTTGGATATGGAACCGCCAATACATGACCTTTATTTTCCTTGTCCATCTTCTTATGCTCCTTGGCAAAATGCAATTGTTTTTTTTTCCAAGCATTTATATCTATATATATATATATACATATGAGCTGATTTTTAAGAGAAAATTTGTAACAGCCCAACATTTATATTGAATAATAATATTAAAATTTATAAATTTGCAGAATCAATTTAAATTTAAAATTTACATTCCTTACACAGTTTAAAAATAAAGAAAAGTGTTAACTAAAAACCTATGTGGTCGACTTTCATTGCATAACTGTAAAAAACAGAAGGCAAACTTTTGCTAACTCTCTTACTGTTCAGGAACCGAATTTTGGTTGTCATGATCTGAAATAGTTAATAATAAATAGGTGATATACACTATTTCAGTAAAAATATCAACACTTTACTATCGATACGGAAAAATCAAAGGTTGATACAAATCGTAAAACAACAAATGAAACTTATTTTTCTTTTTAAGTAAATTCATTTAACTTGAAAACGTTAATCTCTTAACTTACGTTTAAGTTCTCTGATACTATTTATGAGAAAAAGAATCAGAATAGCAATACACATTATATATTCTAAGTGATCAATAGCAACGAAACTCTACCTTTTTACTTGCTTACCAGTACCGCTTGAGGTCCATAAGGATTTTCTACTATACGTGGATCAAGTATTCATTATATTAATTAATTGGTCGTCTCCATATCTCGTCTGGTAATGAACACCAAATATACAACCGCCTCAATATCTCGCCCGGTATAAGCGTAACCAAAGCAACTCTCAACCCTTTCCGATATGGGACTTTTCAGCCCCATTCGACTGAGGGTAGCGTTCACGGTAGAGTTTACCCTATGTATCGAGTCCGTACACCCTTTCTTACGACACTCGGTAAGATCCTTAGTTGAATAACATTACTTTACACATACATGTCCCCATCACCATCACCCACTAAATACATACAACAATTTTATTTCATAATTACAGAAAAATAGAACGATCATTTAATAGATTATATAAATTAAGACTCTAAGTTCGAAGAAAACATAATTAAGAGATTCATTTCAAATCAAAATAGCAGATAAGGATGAAAACGGTTGAGTAACTAATAAACAACAAAAAGTAATTAAAATCGATAAATTAAAGTACACAAAATATCAGTAAGTAAGTAAAATAATATAGTAATAAATAGATAACACAGATAAGTTAGAGATAATTATACAATAACTGGTTACTGACTCCATTGGTAACTTGTATTTAATTAATCAAAGGGTCACCAACATTCATAATTTTTCATTTATTATTTATTAAATTTTAATTTAGCCGTAACGGGAGAAGGGGTGAGAGATTCTTACTTCGGATCGGTGTTCGAAACATTGCTTTTTCTACTACACATTCTGGCGGTTCCTGGTTCCCGAATTTGTTGAGTTTTTATGCAAAAACCAAAACATGTATTAAAAATCATAGGAATACGCAAAAAACAGCCAAAAGGGGTTAAAATTCTCCCAGGGGCCGGTTAAGGGTTCAGGCACGGCGATGCCGCCGTGCTTCGGCGCCAACTTCGCTGCCTACGGTAGTACCGCTGTGCTTCAATGTTGGCTTCGCCACCTATAGCAATTCCTTCTCTCAGTAGGCCTGTTCTATGTGAAATCCTACAAAATTTGGGGTTAGGTGGCCTCTGTTTGCCCAAAAAGGAAAAAACTAAAACTTAACAGCGGTTTGGGGTATTTTTAGGTACGTGACGCGTGTTTTAATCTCTACATGAAAATCTGAAGACCGTCAGTAGGCGCAGTAAAAAGTTCGGTATTTTGGATACCGATTCGTCTAAAAATCTCTTACCTTATTCTCTGTTATAGAATTGAAACTTAATAATCGATAATATGGTATTTTATATAATTTAAAAAACTTTGAGAATAATTACAGATTACTAATAGAGTCGGAACCGGTTAGTAATTTATTTGTCCGTTTAACTTATTATTGAATTTACAGCTTTAAATACATGATAATATGCTGAAATGGTTGAATGATTCAGTTGTATTTCCTTGATATATATATATATATATATATATATTGTTTGTCTTACGTGATTTAAGGTTGATTTGTGAAATTTGAAATTAATATGCAAACGAAAAATTATTTGGTCTTGTGAATTAATAAATGGTAGTCTTACTGGGTATTCTGAGAGATTGTGAACAGACTAGGTACATATGGAACCCTATTGTAAATGTTGCTTCATACCGGACGGGGTATGGGCACGGCCCGATTCACCCTCATACTGTATGGGGTATTGAGGGATGGTATCTTTCGCGTTCATACCGGACAGGATATGGGGACAGTCGGTTAGTTGACAATGTTGAATATTGGTTCATGCATAGTGGGACATCCTTATGCGCCCCCAGGGATACCAGTAGACAAATAAAAAAGGAAAGTGGTTGTTATTGCTCACTTGAAAATAAGATTATGATGTTATTTGAGTTATTGTCTTTATAGGTCGATTTTGAAAATCTCGCAACAGTAAATATATACAATAAATGGTTTTCCTTATGAGAAACGAATTTACTTAAATTAAGAGTTTTATTTGTTATTTTTATAATTTTTAACAATCTTCAGTTTCTGTATCGGTGAGTAGTGTGATATTCTTATTAGGATAGTGTAACTCATCATTTCATTAATTATTTTAGATTAAGAGAATTAAGACCCAGATCCCGATCAACAAGAGGGTTGCGAATAGTTCACCACCCGGACTTTCCTCAAAAACTAGTAAAAATTGTCATAGAATGCTCAGTAGATTGCATTTTGTTTATTATTATTATTTTTTCGTTTGTTCTTTTAGAGTGGACATTTTCGTAATTCTATTAGACATTCTAAATTATAGTGTAAGAAACATAAACTTTAAAATTTATTATTTTGTTTTTACGTTTAATTTATGATTTTATTTCTTTTTAAGTTCCGGGTCTTTACAGTCATCCCGAACCTAAATCTCGAGCTCGGGTTATTACAAAATTACATAATATAAATATTGAGTTGGTTTTTTTTGTACATAAGTTCTTTAATTATATTTCTTCGTATATAATAATTTTAAATTGATAAAAATTTATGTTTTAAATAATTATTATAACATATGATAAAACACAGTTGATATAATAATTTTGTATGGTTCGGCCCATTAAAATTTGGATCCGGCCCGGAAAAGGTTCTCAGGTCATTTGTGATTTAACTGCTCAAGTAGAACTAATTGAGCCTAGTTGAGCCCGATTTAGGCCCAATTCGGCCTGGATCCAATACGAAGCTACCATTTTAGCCCAATTAAATCCATAATTTTTTTTGTTTGGAAGATTAGTATTTTTATAATTTTTAATATTAAAATAAAATAGATATTTTATTATATTAAATTATTTTTAAGAAATAAATCAAATAATGAATCGGCCTGAATTGAACATATAAAACATTTAAAAATATTTTTTACTTTTAATTATTTTTATTAATTTCTTAATTAGCAAATAAAAGAGACTTCGGTGAGTATTCTCGATTTTAATCTGTTTTTTATCCGATTTAATTCAATTTTTTTATAAATAAACATCCCAACTCAAATGATATTAATTGTCTAAACAATAAATAATATATTCAATTTTGAAAAACCTTGCAATTAAAGATAAATTTAATGTATCAAAATATGTAAATTTACGATACTCCAGAATTAAAAACAACATAATCGTATTTAAAGATACAAAAATTAGATATTAAATCAACAAATTCAATTTCAGAAATCAAAGAAGTTGAGGTAGAAACAAGATTATTTTAATATAATAACAATTAAAAATAAAATTAACGCACCCAAATATACAAATGATAAATTGTAAAGTATGAACAGCACACGTTCAAAAATGATGATCAAATGTCCAACAAAAAATATTTAATTTAAAATTTTAAGTACTAATATCTTAAAATATTAATATATATATATATATATATATATATATACACACACACTTGTACTACAAGAAATTCCATATGTAGTGAAAGAGAGGAAAAAAGGATGACCATGACAAGAAAATTATTCAAGCATAAATATTCCAATATTTCTTTTATTAAAATATTTCAATATTTTATAAAATATTTATTCAAAAAAATAAATTTCTCGTACCATCCATTAGGAATTTTTTTTTCTTTTTAAAAAAATATTTTTAGAATTCGGTGGGACCCAACCAAGAGATGGAGGTTCCGGATTCCTGAATCCCGAGTCAGATCGGGACCCACAATTGGGTCATCGTCACAAAATCCACGCCTTCCAACGACCCGCCCGCCTTCCCCTTTCCTACTCCTTTTCCACCGTCCTCCTATCTGCTGTCCACGTGTCGATCTTCCATTGGTTTGACGTCTCGGTCGCACTCCCGTGCCAGGTGGTGACATGGGAGGTTTTTGGTGGTCCCCACTTTTGGACTACATGACATGAAAGTGAAATCACCACCACCAGTTCATACCGTATCGTCAACTGTCTCTTCTCGTTTATAATTTCATTATCTCGTCATGTATTTGTATTTGGTTTAAGTTTCCTTTTAATTAATTATAAATTAATCACCTTTTTTTAGTGTGTGGAATATTGGATTATTCATTAATAGCATTGTGTCATGAGAACAAAATTATTAATAATTTTCCCTAAAATTTTAAATTTCTATTAATATAGATGATTTGCTTTTTATCTTATTTAGAAAAAATTTAATATTTTGACCTTCAAAAAAAAAAAAAATTGGCATTCCTAACTTATCAACCAATTCAAAAAGTATTTAATAAAATACAATAAGATTAACAAATTTAAATTGAGATTTAATGCGCTAAATATAATTGTCTTGATAAACTAGTTATTCTTTTAATTATTTTACATTAATTATCTATTATTTTTAATGTAATAAGAAAAAAAAAATATAACTCCAAATTTATTTTAAGAGTACTAATAAAAAATATTCTAATTTTTTTAATATATCATATTAAATTATGTAAAGTTTTTAATATGAAAAAACGAAAGGTTCTCACTAACTACAAAATATATTAAATACAATATATCCATGAGCTATGAATGTTGATTAGTATAATTTATAGATCAAGTTTGGTATTCTGAATGATAATATTAAAAAATAAATAAATTTGATGAAATAAAAGTAAATTAAAACACATTTATTATTTAAATTATTAGCATTGACTCTATTAAAAGATAACATATAAAAATTAAGAAATTAATATATAATTTAGAATTTGACTTTACTTTGATTTAAGATCAGTAATAAAAAATAACTTAAAATGAGACAACAATATTAATAATTTTTTGAAGATAATTTATATTTAAATATTACTAAAAATGTACTATGACTAAAATTTATTAAAGAGTTTATAAAAAAAAAAAAGATTATTTCGATTATCGGGTAACCTGATTATTTTTGTTAACTTTCAAGATATATAAATAAGTAAGTTAAATTTATCTAGCAACTAAATTAAATTAGAAAAATATTATTTATCGTAAGTGTAACTATTAATTATTTTCTTATTAATGTTATGTCTCTCGATTATTTCTTATTAAATATTCATCAAATCTAATATCGATGCATTTAAATTTTTTTATTTAAAAATTACTACATTCTCGTATTACTTTTTATAAATCGGAACTAATCTACATAATTTAACAACCTACCTCCTCCGTCCTGCCAGCTAAATATTTACATATATATATATAAATTTTTGTATGTTTTTATATTATTTTAGTGTGAATTTTTTTAAATATACTTCATAAAGTATTATTTTAATATTTTATTATGTTTTGAAATATCATATTTTATTAAATAAAATTTATAGGTCAAATATGCAGAGTGGAATAATAAATCCGTGACGAATAGATCTCATGAAAAATATCTTATTTGAATATAAAGTTTATTTTCAAGTTCGACATATCGCGATACGATAAATTCAGTATCTAGAACCTTATTAATCACATTTAAGTAAATTAAATAATAATTATTAAATAATTAATCAATGGGGAAAGATTTAGGTGGAATCCACAAGGAATAAATAAGAGAGACTCGTGGTGTTGGCGTGCCCCAAATTCAGTTCGCTGCGTTCTGCAGGCGACAGACGTCCGTCCGTCTCCATTTCTCTCTCTCTCTCTCTCTGTCTCCTTCAAAACTACGCCGTTTTCTCCTCATTCAGCACCTCGTCACACACTCATTACCTTCTTTCCTCCTCAATCGAGGTGCGTTTCTCTGTAATTTTTCATTTTCTTTGATCACGAAGCTTAATTTTTGTATTCTCTGTTTTTCTTTCGATTAAAGTTCTGTTTGTCATTCAATTTGTGTCTATATCGATTGTTTTTATTTAATCTGGATTCTGTTTCAGGTTATTTTATAGGCCACTGTGTTTAATATATGTCAAGAACACGTCTGGTGAAAAATCGAGGAAATATTGGTTGATTTATATACGTATAGATAAGAAGTTCTTTTTGAAGGTATGTTGCGTGCCATTTTTCTAGATTTTCTTAGCATCCAGATAGGATCTTGAGGTATCGTATTTATGTGTGCGTATTTTCCGGAGTTCATCCGGTAGATCTTATTGGGAATCCTTTTTTATTGCTAATTTGCCTCAATTTATTACTAAGATCCGTTTTTTTTTCGTCTTAGTCTTCTTCTTGGAATTTAGTTTTCACTTTGAACTTGGAGCTGGTTTGTTTATGATTGAAATATATTAAAAATTGCATAGATTATATTTTTTTTTCCAATATATAAAGTGCATTGATAGTCTTTTGCGTGAGTGTGGAACCATGGATATAAAGATAATTTTGAAATAAAATTGTCATTTGGTGAAGCAGATAACTTCTTGAAATTTCTGGTAAATTACCCACTAATCTTTTTGACATTAAGGTTCTTGTCCACTAGCTTTGGTTAGATTTGTGGGGATATTGTTTTCATTCCTCTGCTTTCTCGTTAATTATATATTATATACGTGTATGTGTGTGTGTAATTGCATTGAATAAGATCACAACTTGAAGCAAGGTATTCCATTTATCTTTTCCGTCCAAGTTTTTTTTTTGGCCCAATTGACTGATTACCTCTTTGAGGAGGATTGGAGATATTGATTCTTTTCCTGTTTGATACTTCGAAGTTTGCATTTGTTTATTCATCTAGGTTGATTTTCCTTCTTCGGAGGAGTTTAATGTTAAAACGACATTCCATTTAAGCAATTTATAAATTCAAACCTGTTTGCAATGAATCAATAGTTGCATTAATTATTGGCCTGAGTTTCTTAATTTATATCGATATGTTTGTATACTCTAGTGTTCATAATTCGGTCTTTTATTCTTCCCTTCTTATTTTGCTTGCATTCTAGCTTGCTATTTAATTAGACCTATCTTTTTGCTTTTGTCTTTTAATTATGTTTAATTATGTTTCTGTTTTCTATACAGGTATTTTTAGCAAATGCTGGTAGTTGATGGCTTCTCCAGATCTTGATTCTTATTGGCTATCATCTTCCCGAGAGTCTTTATGTGGATCATTCAATGTGCACATCGAAGAAGAAACGAGTGCAGATCATATTTTACCTGAAATGGAAGCTACAACTTCCTCCATGTCTTATAATCATAATATCCCTAAATCACCTCCTCCCCCTAATAAAACCAGTTTGAGCACCAAACATCCTCACAGATCTTCAAAGTTTAGTTTTGTCCCCAAGGAAACAAAAGATACATGGGACAGGCTTTTCAAGGAAGGATTTGGTGCAGATGTCTATATTATAACCGAAGATGGAGACTGTATTCCAGCTCATTCAAGTATTCTTGTGAGTTAATATTTCTCTCTTTGCTTCTTTAGTTTCCTAAAGCCATTAATTCCTTGCTTCATTCCTTTAAATATTTACTGTCCCGTAGCTCAGTTTTGGAATACAATACCTGGACCCAATTGTTTTTTAATCAACTTTTACCTTTTGTATTTTTAACAACAATCTATAAGTGACTTTTTGTCTATATAATTTTTATTGTGCAGAGTGTTGCATCACCAGTGTTAGGAAGCTTTCTGTGCCAAGCAAAAGTTAGAAACGGAATCAGATGCATCAAAATTCCCGGGGTACCTCATGGAGCTGCTGTTGCATTCATTCGTTTCCTATACTCATCCTGGTATGTCGGAGTAGTATCTTGTACCATGTGTTTATCAGTAAATTTAGTAGGCCTCTATGTTGATAGGAAAAGATTCTGATAGATTTTCTATGTGATTATTTTGGACATTTTTTTTTAAATTGTGGTTGGAATTTGTGTATAGTTTCCTAGACGTGTAATTTGCGTATCATGTAATTTCCCAATGCAGCTATGAAGAGGAAGAGATGGACAAGTTTGTTCTCCATCTACTGGTTCTATCGCATTCCTACTCGATTCCATCACTGAAAAGAGTATGTACACACATTCTGGAGAATGGATGGCTGACAAAGACAACGTGATAGATGTGCTTCAGTTGGCGAAGAGTTGTGATGCACCAAGGCTGTCCTTGATTTGTGTTCGTATGATTGTGACGGACTTCAAATCTATATCTTCAACGGAAGGTTGGAAAGTAATGAAGCGTGTGAACCCTGGACTCGAACAAGAGCTCGTAGAGTCCATTGTTGAAGCAGATACTGTAAGTCTGATTAATATTATTGTTCTTGGTAAGTTTTGGTACTAGTTTATTTGAAGTTCATTATCAATGATCAGTATGATTTTATGCAGCAAAAACAAGAGAGGCAAAGGAAAATAGAGGAGAAGAAGGTGTATTTGCAACTGCATGAAGCAATGGAGGCCCTCCTTCACATATGCAGGGATGGCTGCAGGACAATTGGTCCTCGTGATAAAGTACTTAAAGGGAGTCAGGTCGCCTGCCATTTTCCGGCTTGCAAAGGGCTTGAAGCTTTAGTTCGTCATTTCTCCAACTGTAAGGGTCGAGTCCCTGGTGGATGTGTTCACTGCAAGCGCATGTGGCAGCTTCTTGAACTTCATTCTCGAATGTGCAACCAACCTGATTCTTGCAAGGTCCCTCTTTGTCGGTAAGATCCCTCCTTCTCAGTGATTACTTTGGGATGTGATTGGGAGAATTTGTCTGAATTAGAAAAGAAAAAAAAAAACTTAGTATACCGAAGCTGGATTCGGTAATACCTTGGTCGAAGTCATGTGTGCCTAGTGAAACTTAATAATTGTGTTTGATGTATGATATTAATGAATCTTGTGGTAGTCAACTACTAACACGTTTGTGTTTTTCCCATTTCAATAGACATTTCAAGGAGAAAATGCAGCAGCAAAGCAAGAAAGATGAAGCAAAATGGAGACTGTTGGTGAGCAAAGTTACAGCTGCAAAGAATGCCCTCGGACCATTCTCAACCCGGGACTCGGGTTTATTGTTATATTAATTCAATATGCTCACCACATGATCAGATAGTTGGTGTTCCAGGTTATCAAATAATTGGAACTGTAGAAGTGGCAATAATAGGAAAATCATAGCAGTTACTTTGATAAACACAGCAGTATCTTTGCTTTGTTTTTGTTGTTTTTTTGTTGAAAATGAAGTTGGGATAATGCGAAAATGATCAAGAAGCCATCTTGGTTCAGCATTTGGCTTGGAATATAAGTGAGAAATCCACGGTGAAACAAAGTCTCTTGTAGTTGATGTGATCATTTACTTTCTCCGTACAGTTCGGCCTGTCTAAAGAAATATAAGGTCTGGCAGATCTCCAAGATCGTTCTTATGATTTGTGGTAACAGAAATTATTTTGTAAACATTGTTAGTCTGATCCCTTTTTTCCCAACACAAAGTTGACGAAAGTTTTAAATCTGTCTCTTTCGACAGGAATAAAATCTGCTCAATGTTATCAAGCAACTTTCAAGGGTGATATGAATATACTTTTACAGTAATCCTGAATAGAAAACCAAAAAAAAAAGAACTGATTTGTAACTAATTTGTCCAATATTAGCTTGTGATTTACCACATCTAATCGCTTTCAAATTTTCCAACACTTACAATCCATAGAAGACATCTTGCAGGCTGTTGTAATTCTTAGATGACCTGCAACGATTCTAAGCTCCATCTGCTAATGTCCTCTTTGATGTGCTAATATAAAGGACTGCATTATGAGCAATTAATTTCAAGTTACCCAACAGCTCAAGATGAACAAGAATGAATAAGAGGAAGATGGATGCGTGATCATTACCATTGTTACCACGAATAAAAGCATCACCGTATTTATTTTTCAGCTGCCCATTGACATATTCTTCTGTTTGCTCCATTGCTATATTCATATACCCATCCAAACATGCCAGGATACCTGCATTGCTGAATGATAAGTGATAAAAAGGTAACTTTTTCCCCAAAATCGCTACTTACGATGAAAACCCATATTAGAGTTTGATATTCTCTTTTCATTAAATATTAACCAAGAAATAAGGAGCTTGAAATTCCCCAGAGACTAATACTGTCTTAACAAAGAATCCCTAGAAAGTCATTTTCTCTTAAAATTGTCTTCTTTATTCAGGAGATAAGAAGAAACTCTCCAGGGGAATAAATATCTTTTAAATTTACTGCATTTGACATGGCAGTCCAGAACTCATATAACTGAGATGACAATTCAGACTCCTAAACAAGAAACCTAAAACCATGATAAGATAAAAATTTGATACAGATTAACTCTTGCAGAGTTGGCCAAAAAAAAGAACATGCCAACAACAACAGCAACCAGTGAGCATGAACTTAAGAACAATAATGATTAGGATATGATGCTATCTACAAGCATCCACACTGCATTAATTTTGATATCTGGAAACAATTACGGTGACTTCTCTGTCTATCTCACTTATGCACAAACCAATAACAAGAAAAATCATTTTAGCTTAGAGAAATCAATCAAATTGAACAAAGTACTATCATTCCTTAAAACTCCTAAAAATCTAAAAGCCAATAAAGCTTTCAAAATGATGTGAAGCTAAAAGCCAGGCACAGCAATTGTAATCACATCAGATGACTGGGATTTATGGCATCCATTCAATATAAGCTCATGAACCTACAAATGACAGGTACATTTAAACAACAGACGCTATTTCAAAAGAAAAAAAAAATTAAACAACAGATGCTGGGAAATCCACACACAAAAGAAACAGCAGTATTTTGAACTGCTAATCATCCTATGCATATAGGATAAGTCTGAACTCCAAGAAAAGTGACATCTAAAAAGAAACAAGAAAAATGGAGATGACCAACAGAGCTGTAAGATATGAAGAACGAAACGAGAGGAGAGAAATAGAGAGAATAACCTCGATAATCAACACCAGAATTCAGTTTGACAACTACTGGTCGCCCACGAATTGACTTGAGAAAGTCTGCTGGCGTCTTTGTAGTTGCTGACCCTTTCTCTCCTGCTCCGCTCATCTTTTCCACTTAAAACTTGGATATATCTATTGCAAAGACGTTAGCACGATTGACCAGTACAAAATGTGAACTCTATTTGCTGGGATTAGCCACAACCTTCAAATGAAAAAATGGAAAGCTTATTGACATGCACTAGCAAATTCTATCTGCTCAAACAAGTCCTCAAAAACCATAAAAGGTAATACATAATTCCAATTAAACCATATCCTTGTTTTATCCGGAGAAAGAAAATTCTGAACTTATTAACAAGTCTCCAGAATCCCCAATTGGCAATATTTTTATGGTGTTTCCTGTGGATTAACTGAAAAAGAAATCAACAGGTAACTGTTCTATGTATATCCAGATTGTAACTGCACACATACTATTCTAATTTTATGGATATCCTTCCATGTCCTTGCATCAATGCTTTAAGACAAAAATGAAAATGACAAAAATTTAAAAAAAAATATGACTATCAATAACGTTCCAATAGAAATAGTAGCATACAAAATTTCTTGAGAAAAAACTCACCCCCATTGTGGAGAAGATTTAGAGGAATTCTATTAGTGTTGTTGTTTAAAATATCAAGCTTTGTTTTTATTTATTATTATTATTATCCAAGTATCAGTATTTGTTATATTTAGTATATCTACATTTCTGGGAAACAGATAAAGAAACAACTTACTAGGATTTCTTTTAAGATGTTAGGATACTGAATCAGGGCAAACTACCCTGAAACCATCGAATGTAATTGAAAAGCAAAAATTTGAAAATCTTAGCAAAATGTTACTCAAACTTTCAGCTTCTTATGTTTTGTACTCATGCTCAATCATCGTAATTTTAAGCAAAGACTCTATATATCATTTCCAAGGTTTTACAGAACAGACTTAAATAATCATGTCAATAAAAAATGCATTTTCTATTATTCAACTTCATCTAGATGAGATTTTCTTCCCTAGATCTAGTGAATTGGAGGGGAGAAATTAATTGTTAAATTATCAACAATGACAAGTTAAACTAAAGCCATTAATCCGTAACTTTTCTAGTTTCTAGTTAGCTTGTATATTAACACCTGAGAATGTATACAAACAGCTTATAATCAAGGAGGTTCATGCTAAACAAATGCAAAACACAGATTTCAAAATATTACGTGTGTTGTTGTATGTGTTTTTTGGGATGTACTTCTTCATATTACTTTTAATTGGGAAAACATAAGAAACATCATATATATAACAACTTATACACATCGAATGAGTGAACACAGACCACAAAAAACAACAAACTAACAATAGAACAAAATTAGTTTTACCTGGGAAAACATAAAAAACATACCGTAAAATATTTCTAAAGAATTTTAAAAATAACTAAAACTAACAAATTATAACGTCTTTATATTTTTAAAAAGGTTCAAAATAAAAAAATTCAAAAAGCTCTGCACAAACCAGATTATGAAAACAATTGTTGAAGGGATAAAATGGCTTTTGATTTTCTCTAAAGCACAATTATTTGATAGGAAAAAGAAAATAGAAGCAAAAATAAAATGAGCACACCCTTCAGTGAAATAGCAAGAACAGTATTTAATTTATGCAATGTGGATTTCTATTTCTTTTTATTGGGGTTCCTGGCATTTTACATCTTAAATCTTGGCAGTAATTCAAGGCAAAGAATTAAAATAATATGCTAAGACACACAATTTCTAGAATGAAGAAAAATTTACAAGGTCTGAAACTGATATCATAAGTCAATAATGATGGTATGAAATTAAGGAATAGACATATCCTTCTGATATATCCATTTGATCTTGCAAAGATATTATGAAGGAAAGTTTCAACTCAACACAGAAAGTCATCATGCAATTTTCATATGCTTTGAAAAAGTAATAAAAATCAAAGCAATGAAGTGTCGTAGCAGAGAAAACAAGCAAAAAATATTTCTTTCTTTTGGCAGATCCATAGCAACAAGACTTGCTTCTAATACAAGACCTTGTGAAATAAGACTTGCTCGAACACCTAGTTGGCCAAAAGCTCACCACAAATCCCTACGTTCTAACAACAATGAGAATGTAGCTTGAACGCTCAAAAGAACAAGCCTAAGAAATCCAATAACGTCTCTCCTAGGAGCAATTACACCCAAATGAAGACACTATAAGGTGGAGGCAAACCAAAAAGATTCAAAAGAGAAGACAACATCAACATAATCAACCAGACGCTCAAGAAACAGCCACAATTCGCAGAAGAAAAAAAAAAGAGGGAAATCAACCGCGAGCAATCAAATTCATTTAAAAAGTTTCCGACTTATCATCAGCTACAAAACTAAAAAATCAAGAAAATATCAATCAAATAATACGTTAATCAACTCTTGCATTTCCTCCTTCCCGGAACGAGCGCAAAGCATAAGAAAACTGAACAAAAATACTCGAACAAACGAGGTCCTTCCTTACTTGGTGTCTAGCTGAATCCGGATTGCCACTCAGACTCAGGTGATTTTCTTCAATTCGCGATTTCCTTCTGTTTGCAACGGTAAGTTGAGCAGCGAAGCAGAGTTAGGGTTTTCTTCTGTTATAAAATAAAAATGAAAGTGAAGAGGGGAGGGAGAAGTGCACTGATAAATGGAGGGAGAGGAGGGGAATACAAGGAGGGTTATTTTGGTCTTTTCATGTCTAATAAAAATGTATATATATATTTCAGTCATAAAGATATTCTGAAATTTCTGTAATTATAAAAATAATAATAATAATCAGATTATGATTAAAATCCATGTAGTAAATTACTAAACGTACCTTTTGTGGAAAAAATTTTCATTCAATTATATATAATTTTTATATTTTTAATTTTACAATCAATAATTCTTAAAATCATAAATAATATTATATTAAAACTAATAAAAATTTAATATATTTTTTTTAAAAAATTACGATAAGAACAAAACTCGAATTCTCACATGAAATTATTATATAATTTATGTTATTTATAAAATTATTTATATTTTTATTATTTCATAAAAAGTAAATATTATTACAATTAAATAAATAAATAAATTTCACATGGAAAAAAATTAAGGTTCATAACACCTTTTTTTTTTTTTTGTCTTTTCACAGAGAATTCATTTCATAACGTTCAATGAATCAATCTCCTGCAATCATGGAATCAAGAAAAGAAGAACATTAAGGTGACAACAGAATCTGAATTCATTCATAACTCAAAAATTATTCTTTTCCAGTTTTCACATCCTGAAAATGAAATCCCTCAAAAATCGACTTCCCAATTTCATCTTCAAACGCTCTGCAGAACCAAACATCGTCATCCTCAATTCCCAATTCCAAGCATATCTCTCACGATTCACTCTCCATCCTCATCACCTAATCACCGCATTATCTAACTCAGAATCTGCCCAACTCACTCAACTCAGCCCGAGTTGTCAGGCCACTTTACCTTCATCCTTATCTGAATCTCAACCAAACCACGAACCCATTTCCAAGACGAGCTTTAATGATCTTATTTTCTCACTCCATAGAACCCGACTGTTTTCCTCAAACAGTGAATCTACCGGTACCCTTTTGTCATCTTCTTCAAAACAGTTCAACCTGCGACGAAACAGACCTTTGGATCAGATTCGCGTAAATGACTCAGTCGAGGTTCTTTTCGAGTGAAA